AAAAGGATACCCACAGAGCCAATAAACATAAAACACCACGTTCAACATGCTTCTGTTTACTACCCTTATATGAATCAGATGCCTAAAGTTTAAAAGACTGAAAGCACCAAGTGTTGGCCAAAATAAATTGCTGCTTTTGGAATGGGTGACCACTTTGGAGAATGGGCAGTCTCTCATCAAATTAATTAATCAATTCACCTCTTAGTATTCCCCCAAGATAAGTGAAAATGTTGGTCCTACAAAGTCACATACATGAATGTTACTGGATTTATCCAAAGCAGCCGAGAAAAGGAGACAGCCCAGACACCCAGCAACATGTGAAGGGCCGACCGACGGTGGCACAGCCACAGAGCAGAACACCACCCTACCCAGAAGAAACTACCAACGCGTGCCACGACACGGATGAAGCTCAAATCCTCCTCAGTGGAAGAAGCACACAGGAAACAGGTCCCCCTGTCTGACAGCACTTAAATAAAATCCTAGAAGATGCAATGCAGAGTGAGAGAAAGCAGATCAGTGTTTTCCCTGGGTCAGGATTCGGGGAGGAAGGGCAGAAGAGACGGTGAAGGGGCATGAGAAACATTTGAGGGTGTGAAAACGCTGTTTCTTGAGTCTGGGAACAATCTCACTGGTATACCTCTATCAAGACTCACCAAACTGCACGATTTAGAAGAACACGGGTTAAACTATGCGACGTGTAATTCATTATTTCTAAACATTAGTTCTAAAAAGAGTGAATAGGCAAAAGCTATAGCAGAGGAATGTAGAGATGCAAAAGGAGAACATGTTCAAGCTACCGATTATCCGCTGTCAGTGGCAACAACATTAGGATCCAGGCTCTGGTGACTCTCCTACTGGCCTCTAGAGAATCCAATTTCTCCTCTGACATTTGTAAGTATTGCAAAGACAGTGTCAGGGCCTCAGAAATGACTGCTATGCTTTAGGGTATTTGTATGACACAGAAGCGAATCCATTTGACGGACAACGTGCAGATCAAAATCGGAAGTTTCTCCAGGAGCTGCCCTGTAGCCCGGAGACAGCCTGTGTCCCCCAGCACACTGTGTAATTCAGACCACACAGCCCACCAAGCCGTCCCCAGGGGATGGGAGCCATCCAGAAAGGTCTCCTAAACTAATCTGACCATCACAACTCAGGGAGATGCCCTAACCTGTACCCTCAAGTTTGGATGCAGGGAGGTCAACCTTGTCTCACTGCCAAGGTGGCATGGAACTTCAAGATCACCTTGACTTGGCCAAAATAACTAATCGTGGCTTAATATCTAAATTACAAGGTACTGAGGAGAAGTTTCAATGACTCATCCTTCCACCTTTTTACCACTTTCCCTTGTCAAGAATATACGAAGATAACAATACGAGTTTGAGGACACTGTAGAGTCATTCAACTAAAGCTCTCGCAATTGGCAACACTTGAAAAAAGCACATCAGCTCCCTCAGCAAGAGAACATCTTTGAAACTATGACATAAGAAGCCATTTCTCTAACAGCACACATCTTTGGCATTAGCAAAACCTTTATTTAATTTGTTAATGGCTCCGGTTTTAGCCAACTGTTTATAAAGCAGAGAACACGTTTCTATTTCAAGTAAGGCTGATTAAGGGTCCCTTAGATCTAAAACTCTTTAAATGGATTGCTGCACCCACAGCTAATGACATCATCTATTTTTGCCTAGGGAATTTCCACTTCAAGTTTAAGCAAGTCTTTCTATAGCCCCACTTTTAAAGGTGAAAGAAAATCCAATGACTGAAATAGCGTATTTCAGCAAAACTCAAGAGTCAACGAAATAAGTAACCCAAGATTTAAAGACAACCAGACGAAAACACAAAAACACACTAAGAAACACAAAATGTCATCCACATCCTCCTGTCTTCACTATTCTTTCCCTGCCCAGCAGTACAAACACCCATCTGTATAAGAAAACCCAACAGACTGAACATCAAAATAGCACAATGTGTAAAGCAGGGAAATATACATTTGCTCATTCAACAATTAGATGCTGAGAAATCACTCTGTACCAAGGGCCTTTATAGTAGTGAAAATACAGCAGTGAGCAAAAAGACAGTGATTCCTACCTTTGTGGAGCTTATAGTTCAGTAGTAAAGGCATGAAGCCAACGCACATCTAAAATACACAATGGCTGAGTAAGAGTATTTTAGGGGACAATGAAGTCAAAAGATACCACAGAAGTGGGGACAGTTCTATAATGACCACGATAAAGGTGCCAATAACACCTGAATAAAGAGCTAAAAAGAACCAAGGAAACGCATCACCAATCATGCGAACGTCCAGACAAGAGCTCTGAATCTAAGCAGATTAGGAGTCACCAAAGTTGGCAGGTAGCGATGGTAAGAGAAGAACATCACAGAGCTTAGAAAATATTATACAAAGAAGAACTTCACTCTCTGTAAGGTCTCAGAGAAAAGATACAGATGCCAACAATATCTGACAGGTAAGTCCTTACATTTAATACAGTGTAAACGTATGTATGCACGGTGGTGCTAACTGGGGGTGCGGGGAGGTGCCAACGCGACCTCAATTGAAAAAGCAAATTTATTAAAAACTTTAAATACATGAAAAGGAACGCAAAATAGACTTTAAGGAGTAAAACTAAATATTCAGGTTCTGTCTGAAAGGGGAACCTTTCAGCTTCATAAACACCCTCCCTACGCAGGCATTATCACAAAGGGGACTCTAAAAGCCCTGTCAGAAGGACACTGCTGACCTGCTCAATAGTGATGAGAGGGAACAATACAAGTGAAGTAAGCAGTGGTGACATTTCAGTCTCAAGTCTCCAAAGAGGTTAAGAGTAATTTTTTTTTTTAAGTAAGATGGGATGAAGTTTTTAAATGCCGTAAGTCATTTCCTGAAAAGGCTATTATTAAAATCAATTATCAGGCCCGCCCTACTGGCACAATGGGTTAGAGCACAGCACTATGAAGCTCTCCGCAGCCACTGCAGCACAAGTTCGATTCCTGGCCAGGGAGGTGACCCACATGCTGCAGCAGACCTCTCCTGACCTGCCTGCTGCTCCCCTCAGCAGTGTATTTTGCTCAATCTACCTGTTCTGTTCCCACTCTATCTCTGGTGAATCCTCTTACACCCCCACACCTCTGTCCTATACCCCAGTTCTTGTGTGCATAAATAAATAAGTCTTTAAAAAGAAAATCAATTCTCAACCTCTCAATCCCTCACTTATCAGGTCTAAAAACAGAAAACAAAAATAAGCTGCATGAAAAATAAGCACCTTTTGCTCTTTTAATATATGGCTTAATCAAAGTAGACTCTGAATTTGGAATGACGGCCAACAGATGATGCACTACCAGCAACACTCAGAGTTCTGGGGAGCAGCCCCTGCGTTAACAGAAAACAAGACGTTGGGAACACACCTTTCTGTCATTATCTAAGGCACTGCCACATATTCTTGTTACAGTGGAAGTGACACGATCTACTCTGACGCATGGCTATTTTAACCCCACATCCTCTGCAAAGGCAGACAGTGTATAAGCATGAGCTCTAGGGCACCCCAAGGGCTTGCACAAGAGATCTGATTCCGAGCTCAGCTTCATCATGGCCCTCACGGGGTAGCAGGGTGAAGTTACACTCACTAAGTAATTATTTTCTTCCTTTTCAAAGATAAAAAATACGTAACACAAATTTGAGTTATATGTGGCAAGGACTACAACAAAATACTTTGCCCTGCACCTATGCCTTATACAAAATTAACTTTAAATGGATCTTAAAAGTGATTGAAAAATGCATACAAATTCTTAGACACAAAACCAAAGGCAGGATCAATAAAAGAAAAAACTTGAGAAATCACATTTCATTAGTATCAATTGTTTCTATTCTGCTAGCAGAAGGAAAACTACAGAGTAGGCAAATCACTTCTGACGAAGGACTTCTGACATGCAGAATACATAAACAACTCCTAAAACTCAACAGAAAGAAACCTCATAGTGTGATAATAGAAAAAAGAAAAAATTCCATGCAGTTCTACATGCTGGGATTTACACGTCTAACTTTCCTTTACATTACCATGATGGGGCATGTTCTCTGTCACAGTATCAAAAATAATTAGGCCGAAGAGCTAAACAGTCACTTCCCCAACGAAGATATATAATGATAAGCAAGCATGTAAAAAGCTCATTAACATAATGTTATTAGGAAAATGCAAATGCAAAGCGCAAGATGCCACCATAAAGCTGGCAGGATGATTTTACGAGGATCAACAGCGAGCATGACATGCAGACAGGATTTACAGCTCCTGGAGCTCTCAGAGACTACTGGTGAGTTGCAGGGGGGCTCTCGGGCCCCCGCCAAGATCACAAAAATTACAGACGAATGTCACTCAGCAACACCGATGGAAAGAGTTTTCAGAAACCACTAGCCAATCAAATACAACAAGCATTAGGCAAGTAAGATTTGTCCCAGGAAGACACACTTAGTTGAAGGCCTGAGAAGTCATTATGTACTATGCCATGTTAATCAGATAAAAGGGAAAATCTGTATGATCTTATCCTTCACTAGGAGTGACTAAAAGTACTAACAGGCTTTGTGACAATATTTTTATATTTTTTCCAAAGTATTTTGTTAACTATTTCCTACTGAACAAATCCTGAGGGCCTTTTATATGCAAGGTATATTACTAGTCATTAGTAGAGACACAAAACAAATCATTTGATTTTATTCAGTAAAAATAACAGTACATTACAAAGGAAAACAGTGAAAAGAATAACCAACTCTGCTTCAGGACTCAGAAAGAAGTCTCATTCCTCTTCTCAAGTTGGAGAGGCATGGTTTTAAACTAGCAAATAAGATGACATTCCAGCGTGGTAGCAAATAAATTTATGCATGGAAATAATTTGATAGGAATAATGTATGTATTCTTTCTCTCGCCTGACTACCTCTCTGCAAACACTCTTCTTGAGGATCACCATGGTGTCATGCGTTACTGAAAATGATTTTGGGGTGGTACATCCCTTACCTTGTGGGGCGCGAGAATCCGCTGCCTGAACTTTTCGACCGTCTCTTGACCCATGGAAGACCAGGCGTGAACGAATGCCTCTGCTCTGTCTGCCTTCAGGTGGATGGCATCTAGCTGCTGCTGCAAAGCCGTGGGCTTCATGTTGTGATACACGGCCTGTGGGAGGCAAATGCCTCGCAGTCATGTAAAGATCTCAGATGACAATCGGGTAAAATGATTTGGCAGTGATGTAAGGCGAAATAACATCTCAAACTTCTATTGCGAAAATGTTTGTTTTACAAAAAACAATACACACAGCTGATGGCTGGAAGACTGAAGACCGAATGAAGAATTCAGACCAGCCTTTTTCATTTTTGCCCATGGGTTAAGTAGTCTTCCGCTCATGTAGCTAAAAATGTCTTTTCTTTAGTTACGTGAAGCAATACTCTCATTTTAATTATTTTAAAGACATGTACAATGGCTTTCTTTCCTGAGGGACAAAATTTTTTCAAGAAAGATTGTCTCAAAACTAACTTCCTCTACCAAATTCCCAGGCAACAGAAAAAAATATTAAAGTCTGCTGAATTTCTTGCGTTATTCTGTTCCAATGTTCCCACTGGCCTGATACCTACTGGATGACCCTTCTCCTCTACTGAAAGCCCCCAAGGATGCATCATCTTCAAGCTCTGCAGCCTATCTAAGCCAATTTGATGCAATGCCTAGCACTGTGTTCTCCTAGCCATGTCTGCTCACAAGAATGTTCAGGAAGCTACAGTACTGGTAGTGCTTTTCTTTCACAAGTTTCCTATTATAACCTGAATTTCTTGAGACTCTTATGTTAAATCCAGCCATGGGCTAGGTTTCTGCAAAAGGCACAAAAATATGACCTTAACCCTCACAAATTCAGAATCCAACAAAGGAGACGTAAGTGACACAGATGAAATGGTGAAAGACTAATATGGTCTCTATTATGTTGAGCTAAGGAGAAAAGGAAGTCAAGCAAGGCAAAGACCGCCTGATAGCGTGCACGTGCCCGCGAGGGCTGCAGAGGGAGGAGGGATCACTGAATGGGAACATAACTGATGGATACAATCTAGCTGGGAGCATTGGGATAGCGGGGAGCTTGTGGGGGAAGAAACAGTCTGACAAAAGATCCTCAGACAACTATTTCTTTCCTAAATGTTTCCTTTATCATTCTCCTGAAACAAATCCTCCCAGATCATTTCTTGTATTTCTTCAATGTGTTCATTTTGCTGATTTAAAAGTTAAACTCTTTTCTGTCTCAAGTCAAGATGGGAATTTCTACTGTCGGTACTTTAAGCAGGCTACTCGACACCAAAACTACTTTGTGGAATATAACAATTCCACAAAGGGGAACTGTGAGGGGATTATCAGCTATTAAAAATGTTTTTAATACATTAACTTCGTGATTAAAATATATTCACAGCTTCTACCTGCACACTTTTCCTTTCTTTCTTTTTTTTTTGAAACAGAACATTCCAGATATGACAGCAAAACATGTATGTAAACAAACCATGAATAGAAAATTTGGGGTAATAAAAATACCTGTTCTAAAATGAATGATATTGTCTCAAGAACTAGGTGAAGATCTTGTTTTTCTAGAGAAAATGCAGCTTGAAGTTTTTCTTCCTCTTCATCACTGAAACTGTTCTCCGTCTACAAAACATAAAATCCACAGTCAGGTACTCAAAACTCAACACCAGGCAGAAGACCCATTCATTCACATATGAATGAGAACCTGAAAGAAAGAAGTTGATGCATTTGTAAATTTCAATACCTCAAAGCCACTGTACAGTTCATGTGGAATTTGCCAGAGAAAGTTCATCCTTTTTTTAAAGGATTTATTTATTTATGCGTACAAGAACTGGGGTCGGAAGTGCAGGGGGTGAGAGCAATCACAGAGACAGAGTGAGGAGTAGAACAGGCAAACTGACTGAAGTACACTGCTGAGAGGAGCAGCAGGCAGGTCAGGAGAGGTCTGCTGCACCATGTGGGTCACCTCCCTGGCCGGGAATCAAACTCTTGCTGCAGTGGCTGCAGACAGCTTCATAGTGCTGTGCTCTAACCCATGGCAACACCAGGGAGGGCCCAAAAGTTCATCTTTAAAGAACGGTATTTTAAATTGCATGCTTTCCAGGAGGTGGAAAGTAACAGTAAAAAATATATAACAAAAGACCATTTAGAACAAACAAATTAGAAGGTAAAACTGCAAATGTTACCAATAATTAATAGTAATTTCCCTCTTCACTAATCACAAACAGTTCCCGGGTATCTACCATACATGCTCCATAGACACACAGTTCATGAACTCAGGAATACAACAGTCCAATCAGAAAGACTTACAAACAAATAATTACTCAATTTCTATTAGGAAGAGTTCTGCAAAGGTAGGGTTTACTTTCAGAACATACAACACAGTACGGCTTGTAACACTGTGAGAGCAGGAAATGACACCTTTTCCCTCATTTCAGTATTTCCCATAACCTGCATACTACACACATAACTCAGACGAGCGATCCATGGAAAGCAGCCATCTCACTGTACTCTCTGGCGTGTCTCCTTTCTTTCATTTCCAAAATAACCTCCCTGAGCTAAAGATACTGGTTTATCAAGTATGAAACATGTACAACTTTAGAACAGTTTTCCAATAACCATAAATACTAAAAACAACTCTGCCGCTGTGGGGTCTCCTCCCCCAACAGCAACACAGACAAGACTCAGAAGTCTCAAGATATCTCTGCCTGGAAGCAGGCATACTTTTGGTTTCTGAAAGCTAGTAACTATTTTGTGCCTAAGGAACGAAATAGTAAGGCATCACTCACCTCAGGAGCCTAATTTGAAAATGCCAAACATGTGATTAGGGTACCTTTGCTTGAAATAATGAGCTAGTATCAGTTCAAGAGATAAAATAACATTATTTGTGGCCCTCCCTGGTGGCGCAGCGGGTTAAAGCACAGCACTGAGAAGCTAAAGCCACTTCCGCACGAGTTCGATTCCCGCCTGCCCCGGAGGTGACCACATGGCGTGGCAGACCTCTCCTGGCCCGCCCGCTGCTCCCCTCAGCAGTGTACTTCATAAATCTGCCTCTTCTGCTCCCCACTCTGCCTCTGGTGAAGCCTCTCACCACCCCTGAGCCTCTGGCCTGCACCCCAGTTCTGTATGCACAAATAAATAAATCTTTAAAAAAAAATAACATTATTTCTACATAATCACTAAACCTTCAGATCACATAAATCACATGTTGCATTACATTCAATGAACATTTATTTACAACGTAATTTCCAAGCTGGTTAATCTGATTCCTTTTAATATACACCACACAAGCTGTTCTGACAAGAATAAAAGTCGTTGGCATGTAGAAAAGTAAGTTTCAGTGCCCCCAGCATGTAGGAGGAGGGCAGCAAAAGGCGGTGTCTCAAGCTCTTCCAGCACGTGACATTAACAAGGTGACACTGACAAGGGAAACCTCTCTTCTCCCCATCCCCATGCACCCCTAAAATAAGGCCGCTCTTACAAGATGTCAGAACGGCGAATGGAGAATGCAGCTATAAACAAAGAGAATGGAGGAGAAAGTGAAGGACATCTATTTCTTTCTTTTTTTTTTTTTTTACCTCTCAACTGGACTGACTCCCAGATTACATAATTAAAGATGAAATGTCCAAGAAACTGAAGTTTTAAAGTGGAAGTTGGCTGCCAAGTTTCCGTTTGCCGTAGGTACGTGCGTGCCTTGGCAGGTTGGGCAAACAGCACACGCCAAGAATAAGGCCGTGCTCCACAGGTTAAGGTGCAAAGATCCCAGGTGCAAGTGTTAAGGGAAGAGGCGACTCCCACAGAAAGGTACAGTCTCACGCCACCCCCATAACAGCACGTCGACCCCAGACTCCACTGCATGTGCATGACCCGTGCACACATTGCATTTGTTAGCACAGGAGAAAAGCTCTGGAAAGGCAAAAACCACGTCATACCCAAGGCTACCTCTCGGGAAGTGTCAGGGCTTCGTTACAAATGCCAAGTTTGGACACTCCCTCCAAAGATGAAGCGGACTTCCCTGCCCTAGAGTGTGAGCCAGACTTGACGGCTTACTTCCACCAAGCAGAGCACAAAGCTCAGTGACCGCCAAGTATGGGTCATCCAAGGGGCGGCACCTCCCTCCCCTGGGTCCCCTGCTGCTGAAGAAGCCCTGCTGGTCACCCACAACATCCGCTGACTCCTTTGAAAGGGGACACCCCATCCCTCCAGCGCCAGGCAAGCCTGCAGGTAACAGAAGCTCAGCCAACACCTGACAGCAACTTCTTAGGAAATCCCAAGGCAAAACACCCAGCCCAGCCTTTCCTGAATTCTTGGGCTACAGGAACTATGAGAGATAATTAACGTTTACTACAGTTTCAAATTGCTCATTTTTGTGGCAACTCAGGATGCAGCAACACAGGAGAAAATCCACCCAGGAGAGGATTAAGTGGGGAGGAGGGGAGGAGTCAGCCAGGGGGAGGGGGGGCAGCATTCAGTGTGCCCACACTGTGTGAATGGTTTAGAACAAAAAGTTACTCATAAATTATTTGTGCAATTTAAAATGCTATTAAAATTCTTAATGCAAACACTCTTCGCATGTTTAACTGAAAGGGCGCAAAAAAAGTCAATTAAAAGATCCACACTTCCAACTTCTCTTTTTATTTCTTTGGAGGAAAAGCTCATTTTAACATCCATGATAGAGAACTAATCTCAATTCCATAGGTAGTTGATATCAGGTCACCTCTGTCACAAAATGATAAAGGTCTTCTATAAATAAGCATATACATACATATATAAGCTATAAATTTATGAGTGCAAATATGGTTTTAAAACTCAGAACATGGGCCCGCCCTGGTGGTGCAATAGGTTAAAGAGAAACACTATGAAGCTATCAGCAGCTACTGCAGCACGAGTTCAATTCCCAGCCAGGGAGCTGACCCACATGGCACAGCAGACCCCTCCTGACCTGCCCGCTGCTCCCCTCAGCAGTGTATTTTTCAGTACATCTGACTGTTCTGTTCCCTACTCTGTCTCTGGTGAATCCTCTCACCCCCCGCACCTCTGGCCTACACCCCAGTTCTTGTATAAATAAATTTTAAAAATTAAAAAAAAATCAAAACTCAGAACATGATTTAGACAGAACTCTGATCCAGAGTTCAAGCTGGCCCACTGCCCCACACACGCCGATACCAGCAGTCTGCATAACCTCTCATTTACAGTGTGTGCATGTAACATTCTTTTTTTTTTTTTTTTAAGATTTATTTATTTATTCGTACAGAACTGGGGTACAGGCCAGAGATGTGGAGGGTGAGAGGATTCACCAGAGACAGAGCGGGAAGCAGAACAGAGAGATCAACGAATTACACTGCTGAGGGGAGCAGCGGGTGGGTCAGGAGAGGTCTGCTGTGCCATGTGGTCACCTCCGGGGCAGGCGGGAATCGAACTCATGCGGAAGTGGCTTTAGTTTCTTAGTGCAGTTCTTTAACCCGCTGCGCCACCAGGGAGGGCCGTGCATGTAACATTCTTAACCCATTAACTGATTTAGTAAGAAGTCCTCCACCTTATTAACCACCAGATAAAATGCGCTCAAAAATAAGTTTCTCTTTTCTTTGTCCACCTAGGTGAGCTGTTCTCTGCACTGGACCACCTCTTCACCACAGACCACTTCAAGTCCCCAGAGCAAGCAGAGGCTGGATTAACCCCTGTGACTGCTCCATCTGTTGATCTGAGACGCCTTTATCTGTCCCAGCAGGAAATCCAATGGAACCCAAAGGGAATCTCACAACTAAATGAATTTTTATTGTAAACGTTTGAAAGAAACCTCTCTAAAATATATGGAACCCATTCTAAATTTGGCTAACAAAGTTAGTTTCTAATGACAATAAGGTCATGATTATGCACACCAGAGTGCTAATAGTATCCTAAAGAACTTCTAGGAGATGCTGTTGATTTTCAGGTTAGGGAAAAAAACTCAAGATTTCTGTGCTTTCATATTTCATGTGTGTGACTGTCAAATTCATCTACTTCATCCCATGGTCACTTCTTGAAACTGCCTACATGCCTCAGCATAGGGCACCTTCAGCCCTCACGTTGCTATTTGCAGCCTGCCGTGACCAGGAATCCAGACAGCTGACCCCTCCCAACTAGCCACACAACATAGGTCCATCAATGGGCTTTCTGTGAGGGCGTAAAAGGCTCTTCTATGAAGTGATGTATATGAGATCTCTTTCTTGCATGAGTAGTGACAGCTATTTTTAAAACCCAGAAGCCATAAATATTTATGCCTAAGCTGCCCGCTACAGAAGCCAGCCTGACTTCCCAGCGTTGCCCAGAGCACGCTCTGTCAGCACGCCTGGCGGGCGAGTCTCCGGCAGGAGTGCCCTGCACAACGCCAGTCCTTCCGAGCTCCTGGGCCTTACACGCCCACAGCACCTTCCTCTCACTGTAACAACCAAAAACCATTCCCACAAAGTGACCTTGCGTAATTTACCTGAGCGGCATCTATCTCAGTATGCAGGATGGGCCAGGAAGACGGCCAGTTCCCAAACCCAGGCTTGGGCCTGCACACAAGTCCCCTAAACATCGTGTCCCTGTGGCCCTTCCTACGAGGTAATCCCAGGGATCAGTCTGGAGAAAACAGATACCCTCTATCCAGGGGCACACAACCGTAGTTAAGTCAAACTGCCAACCTGATCACACAAGAGCAAGTGAATCCCCAAAGCGCTTCACCAATCCACCCAAAACAGGTCTCACTGTCCGAAGGGCTCTGTCTGTCTCAAGGCTACAGGAGTACACAAGAGTGCAGCAGAGAAATCAGGCAGATTCTCACTGGCAAGGACAAGCATTATTTGACATACGAGGCTATCCCAAGAGGAATCCCCGCAAAGGAGGACTTCCTGGCTCCGCTCGGGACAGAACCCTGCACCTTTCCTTTCTTTCTCAGCAGCAAGTCCTCACGTCACATCAGCAGTTTCTGCCCTCACTGCTTCAGCTCTCAACGATTACCCAGTCTCACCGCCTCTTCCTGCTTCTGATGTTACAGCACCCACACACCTCGGAGCAAGGCTTCCTTAGGCCACGATGCCACGAGCTTACTCTCACGTCCGAAGGGGCCTGAGAGGACTGAGGGAAGGAAGCCTATACGTCTCAGTCTCCCCATAAATACTCCATCCTCCCTCAGGTTGAAGACTGAAAGAGGCGCGTGAGTTTCTTGCCCCATTTTGTCTCACTTGTCCAAGGAGGCGGCCACCAGCTCCAGAAATCAAAGCAAAAGTTCTGTCTTCACTGCCTGCATCACGCACTTCTAGAATGATGTATACAGTATTTTGTGTTCTTTCTGGAGGTTCACTGTAGTCAGTTAAAGGGGTAGATTTTGGAGACAAGTGACCTTGCGTAATTTACCTGAGCGGCATCTACCTCAATTTCCTCATCGATAGGCAGGCTGACAACAGAACCTATTTCTTATAGCCACTGTAAAAGAGCAGATGAGCTACTGATACAGGGCCATTAAAACAGCACCACTCGGGCCTTCCTGGTGGTAAATAATGTTAAAAACAGTACTATGAAGCTATCGGCACCACCGCAGCACAAGTTCGATCCTCCGCCGGGAAGTGACCCACAGGGCACAGCAGACCTCTCCTGGATCCCCGCTGCTCCCCTCAGCAGTGTACTTTGTTAATCTGCCTGTCCTGCTCCCCACTCTATCTCTGGTGAATCCTCTCACCCCCGCCCCCACCTCTGGCCTGTACCTCAGTTCCGCATGCATAAATAAATAAATCTTAAAAAAAAAAAAAAAAACAGCACCACCGAGGAAACAATGTGACTGACTATTGCTGTTGTTGTTGCTGTTCCTTCTCCAGTCTCTCCTTATATATCACAAATTCATTATAGTCAGGTAGTTACGAATACCTACATTTGCTCTGTGTTCCCCTCTGGTAAGGAAAAAACTAACTCCAAGGAAGGTTATTAAATGTCAATATTAAGTACAGGAAATATAAAGATGAGTAGAACGAGGTATTCAAGGTCAAAGACCCTCTAACCATGCAACACCATACTGCTATAGCACTAAGGTGAGTTTTAGCAGCACAGAAGAGAGACAGGGTGATGAGTGCGTGATGGTGAACTCGCTGAAGGATGGAGAGCTTGCTCACTGAAGCAGGAGAGGAGTTCCACTGGTAAAGGAATCTGAGTTGATGCAGGCAGAGAATGGAGTTCCTGACGTGTTCTAGTGAAAAAGCACCCCATCCAGTGTGAACCAAGCAGTGCAAAGGGAGGAGAATAGAGTTTAGGGCCACATTCTGGCCCACATTGTTGTATTATTACAACATGTCAGGTGATACACAATTATATGCAGTGCGTAGAAAGCACTATAATACAAGGTTAAACATCTGTAACTTTTCTCCATGGGGCAAAGGAAAGGAATTGATGATTGTGAATACCAATACATGATCAACTTTTTTTAAGAGAAGTAAATTAGAGGGAAAAATGGAATAGCACTGTGACGAAGTGACAGAAAAGAAGACTGGATGCAAACACATCAATTTGAACATAGTGGGGAACAAAGAAAAAGGAAGGAGGATCCCAACCAGGACTGAGAACTCGGATTTGAGAGACACATCAGAGTGCAGAAAGCTATGCAGAAAGAGCTCTGCCATTAGCTCCTGACTGGGGAAACAAAAGAGGAGAGTCCTGGTTTTCAATTCATAGGAATTCCCAGCAACAGACACAGCAGTCAGTAGGTAGATGATCTGTAAATGTCTTGGAGGGAATTAACATTTTTAAGCTGATAAAGAAAGTAACTTAGATTGGAGACTAAGCAGTGAATCATGACATATCAGTAAGTCTAAAATAACCACACCCTTAAAATAAAAGTGAACAGGTTCAATACAAGATGAAATACTGGCCGACAGCAAAACACAGGCGAATGAAATCATGCAGTCTTCCATGGATTTTCCCACTGTATGTTTCATAGAATTTAGTCCCAAATAATATAGTTGATAAAGCAGTTTCAAGGTCAAACACATTTGGAAAATGTTACACACCATATTCACACTTAAATGTTTCCTATAAACATTGGCATAAAATAAACTGTGAAAATTTCCAGAGTAAAAGAAAATTAATTAGGGCAGAGTTTCCAAAACTTTTGTTCGTGGGACTTTATCAAATTTTCCAGGGACCCAGTGTTCCCGAGAGCTAGATTCACAAAAAGGGCTCCAAGCCGAAACAGTTTCAATGAAATCATAAGAAGTAGATTACAAGACCCAGAAATGCAAAATCACAAACCTTCAGGTGAAGTTTCTGAAGAATTCGGGTGAGCAGTCGTGGAAATCTTCCTATGTCTATTTCATTTATCAGCGACACTGCTTTTTTCAAGCTAAATAAATTCATAACACAAAATTTGAAAATGAGTTTTTCAAATGGAATGCTACTTGCTATAAAGAGTTGTTTATCCCTGTGATTGTCTACGGAAGTGTTCATTTTTATAGTGTTTTTTTTTTTTGAAGATTTATTTATTTATCCATACAGAACTGGGGTACAGGCCAGAGATGCGGAGGGTGAGAGGATTCACCAGAGACAGAGAGGGGCGCAGAACAGGCAGATCGACGAAGTACACTGCTGAGGGGAGCAGCGGGCGGGTCAGGAGAGGTCTGCCGCACCATGTGGTCACCTCCGGGGCAGGCGGGGATCGAACTCATGCGGAAGTGGCTTAAGCTTCTTTGTGCTGTGCTTTAACCCGCTGTGCCAGCAGGGAGGGCCCGGAAGTGTTCATTTTTAACAACTTTGCTACAAGATAAGTAAACAGCAGTGAAATAAAGAAAAAACAACTACCAGTCAAAAACGAGGCCCCTCAAAATTATTCCTGTTGAAAGGTCCACTTGACAAATTTTCTCTTTCTGTGCGCAAGGCAAACTACTAGGGGAAGTTTGCACTGTGGGAATCAGCGGTAATTTAGTCTAAGTGTCCACTTAACCAAAAAGGGACTCTGAAAAGAGTGGTTGCAGGGGAGTGGCACACTAAAAAAAGAAAGAAAGAATAATGGACTAAAAATAACAACACATACAAAATCATTTGGAGTTACTAAATAGGGTGTTGTAAAGCGCTAGTTCAACTGTAATGATCAATTTTAAATTGCCACGTAGCAGCTATTCCACTACAACTTGTGGATACTGTGTTCTGAGGTAGTGGTACAAGAACTGGAACCAGTCCTCAGAATTCAAGAAATCCAGGAAGACAGCAAAACTTTAGGGCACAAGGAGTTAAGTCTCAGCGCTATCAAGCTATCATCAGCCACCTCAGCAGGAGTTCTACCCCTGGCCAGCTTGCTGACCCACATGGTACAGCAGACCTGTCCTCTCTCGCCTGCTGTTCCCCTCGCCCATGTATTTCAGTAGATCCACTTGTTGTCCTCCCCAATCTGTCCAGTGGATCATCTCAGCCCCCCCTTTGTGGCCTACACCCTATAAATAAAAATATATGTTAAGATAAAATGACGGCCCTCCCTGGTGGCGCAATGGGTTAGAGCGCAGAACTGCAAGCAACAGCAGCCGCTTCAATGCGTGTTCGATCCCTGTCCTGAAGGTGACCCACAGGGCGCAGCAGACCTCTCCTGGCCCGCCCGCTGCTCCCCTCAGCAGTGTACTGCATCGATCTGCCTGTTCTGCTCCCCGCTCTGTCTCTGGTGGAGTCTCTCAATGCCCCTGCACCTCAGGCTTGTACCCCAGTTGTGTGTGAACAAATAAATCTTTAAACTTAAAAAAAAAAAAAAGAACAACTACTGCCCTTTAAAATAAAAAGAGTAACTGTTATAAAAGAATAATAACTAATAAATTATATATAACACTTTTAAAAAATAATAAAAATAAAAACAATAAAATGTCAACTTCCTTCAAGGAGGTTCTTGCCCAGTTTGAACACAGATAACTCAGTCTCCTAAGACCTAAACCCTTTCTCCATATTCCAACACCACCTGCAGTTATTTTTGATTAAACTGAGACATCTCCAAGTAAATTTATTTGAAAAAGAGAACTTTACATCACCACTAAGGGCAGTCGATTGAACCTACAGTAATTAGCTCAGCGAAAAATAAAATGAAAACTAAAGTAAAATCAGCCACAAAATTCTGGTCCTTCGTACGAGCCCCAAACTCCCTGGCCTGGGGCGTGTTATGTCGGGACTGAAAAGGGGCACGAACTCCTAGTAGATCTTAAAGACCCTTCAACACCAATGGTGCATTTCTCACAATCAAAAACTCTCAAAACCTAAAGCGGAAGCGGAAGCTCGTTCACGTGACTCCACGCGACACCCCGCAGGCCCGGCCACTAGTGATGCTACACTCGGGGCCAGTGACAGATCGCGCAGCCCGTCGCAATGACCCAGCTGCTGGACGCACTGTGACCCCACGCAGGCGAGCCCCCGTCGAGCCCTCCCAGGGGAACCTGTGGGCACCGAGCGCCGCGGGCCGCCCGGCGCCCCCGGAGCCCCCGACTCCCCACCCGGAGCCCACGCCCGCCCCGCCCGACGTCGCGCTCCTCGGCGCCAAGGCCACCGCCATCGGGGGCCACTTGGCGCCGGCCCTGCCCGCGCCCTCCCGGGGGCAGCTCCCGCGAGTGCAGCCCGGCGGCTACCTGGGGCTATCCCGCAGGATCGGAGCCGCGGACGCCGCCATCTTGGAAGCTCCCACGCCGGGTCGCCGCGGGTCAGCTGCTCCGCGCCCAGCCAATGGCGGCCGCGGCGGACGGGAAGCCGGAAGGGTCACGCCGCGCAGGGTCGCGCGCACCTGCTGGGGGCCCTGCCCGGGGGTCCAGGGACTGCAGGGGACCGCGACTTCCCTGTGGGAGTTTAGAAACAGTGCACGTAACCACTTCTATATACATACATTCATTATATATGTGACTGTGTATCTGTGCATCACCTAACAAAATCACTGCCTTTGAGCCCAGGTGTCCACCCATCACCCCCAACACGTGAGGCGCAGCCCACAGCATTGCCCTGGGCATTGTCTGGCCAACCAGGGCTCTGGGCACTTCCTTTAGCCACATTCGCAGAGCACTATGCCTGCCATGCACCAGGCACTGTGTTAGACACCGGATACAAAAGGCCAAAATTCTGCCTTTGGGGCTTGCACAGACTTCAGATGACAAGTATTTGCTGTGTCTTTTGGAAGCCAGCAGTGCAGAGACTACCATGAGGGTCTCGCCAGAGAGTAGGGAAACAGTAGAGTTTCACAAACACCTTGTTGTACCATGACAAAGCATATATAGTTAAGGAGTTCAGAGATGAGAACAATGATAAGCCATCTGAAGAAGGGCCAGGAAAGCTTTCTGTGGCAGGGGGCATGAAGCTTTGGATGCTGGGTGGTGGCATAGGTATACTTAATTTGGTAGGCAATGGGGAAATCATTAAATGTTTTTAAGCAAAGAAATTTTGTGATAAGGGTTGTGTGTGTGTGTAAGATTACACTGGGATGATCACCTTGAAAAGAAGCAAGAAAGAAAGGTGGAGAGGAAGCAACTATTATTACATACACCAAGTTGTGGGGTACAGCACTATGACAAGTAGACCTTTTTCTTGGCAAGTTGAGGACCTGCAAGGGAGAGGGGAGGGGAGGAGAAGGGAGCTGAGCTTAAGACAGGGGTTTTGGCCCTCCCTGGTGGCACAGCGGATTAAAGCACTGCACTAACAAGCTAAAGCCACTTCAGCATGAGTTCGATTCCCGCCTGCCCGGGAGGTGACCGCATGGTGTGGCAGACTTCTCCTGACCTGCCGGCTGCTCCCCTCAGCAGTGTAGTTCGTTGACCTGCCTGTTCTGCTCCCCACTCTGTCTCTGGTGAATCCTCTCACCGCCACTGCACCTCTGGCCTGTACCCCAGTTCTGTATGAACAAATAAATAAATCTAAAAGAGAGAGAGAGAGGGGTTTCATTTCAGCTCTGGATAAAACTGAAAGTACATGTGAATGGCCAGCAGAGGGAGGCAAAGCCATTCATGAAAATTTTTTCTTTCCTACCTAGCTTCTGGAAGGGTGGATTAAGAACTGCCAAGTGCAAGAGATCCTCATCTTTCAAGAATAGATGCCAAAATTATCTAAGGCATATAATTTCAATGCTCCGAGCTGCCAAGTACTTCATTAAAAAAATTTAAAGCTAGTTTGGGAATCTGAAGGTGTTCAAAGAAATGCTCTTGGCTTCTCTCCCTCCCTCCCTTTCTCCCCTTTCATTTTCTCTCTTCTTCTGGCCTTTGTTTAGCTACAGTCCACAGCTAAGTAATTGGTGCTCTTTGTCAGTTGATTCAATCTGTAGACACAGCGCATCTCTCCTGTTCACAAGGCACACACTGGCTTACCCTGGGTACAGAAATGTCAAGAAGAGGTGGTAGGGCCTTGGCGTCGACCTCTTAAATCAGGCCTTAAGACTACAGTAGAAAGCAGAGGTAATGTAAGAGGATGGTCCCCAAGAAAAGGGAAGGTTCTAGGTTCTGCCCCACCCAAAGAGGGGGGGGGGAGCTGAGCAAGGAGAAGAATCTGGAGAGGAGACTGAAGAGGAAGGAAGCAGGGTGGAGCCAGAAGGAGACCTGAGGGAGACATGTGGAGCAGACACATGTGAAGAAGCAGCAAGCATGTGATGAAGAAACTGGGCTTTTTTCCTGACCCTGGACTGGTGAAGGCAGATGTGGGTGAGAGACCCATGGGGAGGCGACTAGGCAGTGTTTATCTTGATTGTGATTTTGCTCTTTTCCTCCCAGACTTGTCTGTTTCTGACCCTTTTCCATGGGTCCCCTCCAGAAGGTGCTTTAGACTGTGGCGGCTTTCAGGCCTTGCTTTGGGCCAATCCCTTTTTGGAGGGGCTGGAAAACTTTGGGTGATTGATTTAGAAACTATATTCTTTGAATTTTCTGTATTGCACATTCATTGTATTAATATTCCTTTCCAGTAAAGGTCTTACATGTTTTGTCTTGATGTGGCAGAACTTAATTAGAATGGGCAGGTGTGGGGGTTTAGGGGATCCCTCTCCCTGCCCTGTAACAGTAACACATTTATTGTGAAAGTTTACTGAAACAAATTTGGGGCATCTGGATATAATCCTCTGTCCATTTTCGGGACAAGCACCCTATTAGCTAGGTGCTTTGCTGATAAGCAAGAAAATCCAACTTCGACTAACTTGAGAGGGTTCTGGTTTATATTCTCCTTTTATTAACTTGTAATTAAAATTAGGAGCAAACCTTTTATAATTAAAAAATGGTGATTTTCCTACAACTTAATGTTCACACATTTGAAATTTTAGGTAATAATTCAAATGAAATATCTAGAAAAATTACAACTCTCCCAAATTGATATGAAGATCAAATCAAATATATTATTTTTGCAAATGAATGCATTATTTAAAAACCTTCTTATAAATAAGGCCCAAATATCTTACCGGCAAATCTCCAGCAAATGTTTAAGGGAGAAAAATGTCAGAAAGCCTTCCGGGGAAGAAAAAAGAGAAAGTAATCCTGGACTCCTCTGTGAGTCTAGCATGACCTTGATATCAAAGCCCAACAGGGGACTCCCACTTCTGAAAAGACTAGGTTCGGGTCCCTTTATGAGTCCTGCCGAATACAGCTAAAATCTCTGGAAAGTAAATAAAGCAAACATAAGACTGCCCTGACAGAGAGAGGGAGAGGAGGGAAAGGAGAGAGAGGGAGAGAGGAGGAGAGAGGGACTGAGGCCTTGGGCATGCACAATGGCACTGTGATACGTGGCCGGGTTTCCTTTAGATCTGAATATCTGAATGTCCCAGGGTTCATTGTCTTGCCTTGCATCCTGAGTCTCCACTAAGTGTGGTAGGTAAGTGGTGCTGATGAGTGAAGGGTCACTAAAAGCACTATGAAAGGAAAAAGAATTCAAGCTAGTCTTCTGTCTCTTGCCTGTATTACGTCTGAGAAAGCATTAACCAATTTAAAAAGAACAAAGACATCTCACACAAAGGAGGTGTTAGGAGAAATCTGCGAAAGGAATCAGTACAAATAAACTGCACAATAGGCCCAGAAGAGTGATGAGAAGAGTTGTATTCCTTCCACAGAATGGGAAAAGCAGAACTTCACAAAATGGTGAATATGAAAAAGAATATTCCAAATGTAGGTTTAAAATATAGGTTGGGGTGGAGGATGCTTCAGTGAGACTGTATATTGACTCCTGTCCTAAATAGCCCCAAACAATCTTCTGCTATTGTAGATACCACACAGAATGAAAGAAAAAAGTCAAAGGGAAAGGAACAATGTGTAAGGATTTTCTTTTAATCATTTTATACAAGAACATAAGCTCTTCTAAAGTGTTCAATGTCTAGCATCTACCAAGTTTGAATACATGTTAATCAAGAAATCCAGTTGATTTATAATAATGTACAACTAAAACTTACATGATCTTATAATGCAGTGTTAACTTCAATAAAAATTTTCAAATCCACACAGCAAATGACAGCAGTTGCAATGCCCAGAGTACAACTCTAGGGGGTGATGTTGGCATTGTAGGTATTTGAAAATTGCCTCAACGCTGGCAGCAAAGAGCCCGAATGTTTAAAATCACCAGATGCTATAAAACTACATTCTCTGCACCCACAAAATATCCAACTCAACATCGTTCACTTTCTAGAAAAGCAAGTAAACACCAAGGAGAGGTGAGGTGATTTTTCTGTGAATAGCATCCCAGAGATTCTATCTGCAGTGCACCCAGGACGCTGTTTCTGGGGAAAGGGGGAGCTGTGGAACTGTCTCAGGCTCGGCATGGGTAGTCTTAAGTTCTTACCAGTTAGACCCAGACAAAGTTATTGGGCCAGTTGATGTGATATGACATGAACGGTCACAGGCAACTTGTCTAACTCTCAGTGTGTACCAGCTTATATTTAAATGACATTCTGTGAAAGAGCTTCTCTTACCAATACTTCACATATTCATGAAGATGCAGCATCAGAACTGAAAGAAAACCCTATTACCCTGACAGGACAATTTTTTTCGCTAATGTAATCAGATACCGTAGCTATGTTCCTGGTTAATCTGAATTTGGCTCAAATAACTAAAGACCTTTTACTCATTTGTGATAAAATTAGACACTTGCAAAATGAATTTCTGACAATGCACATAAATTATTTTTGCACTGATCATTTTAGTGCAGGAGGCTTTTTTAAAAAGGCATAGACTTGGCATTAGATAAAGATGAAACAACCTGATTTCAAAAACAGAGGACTTCTTCGGACTTTTTGCAAGTTTTTCCTAAAATCGGTCTGAGCTGTCTGTAGTTTTTTTATTTTATTTTTCACTTTACTTGAAAACTCGCCAGTATAATTTGCCAACAAACTTTTTAAACCAAATCACTGTAAAGCAGATTAGCTCACCTAATATTTAAGACTGGGTGATGAGAGGCGACAAAAGGGAACAGGATTATAACGTTAATTTGCCTGAGTTTATTTTAAAATAGGAAACATAGAGACAAAGAAAGTTTTCTCCATCTCACCAGCTAATGAAACTTACCTAGGTTGCTTGTTTCAAAACCTGGACTCCCAAGCCTCATCCCTAAGGTTCTGATTCCTGAGAGCTTGCCTGGAGCTCAGAAACATATTTTTCAAAGCATCTGGATGAGTTCTATGGTCACTCACATTTGGAAAATACTTAATGTCATGGAAAGAACACAGGGTGTTAGGTTCAAACCTGCATCTTTTGTGCCAGGCTTCTAGTTTCCCAAAGACCACCAAGGAGCGATTCCCATGCAAAGTGCACTAGGGTCTTTATTGCAATCTCCAGCCTGGGCTCCCAACATACAGCGACGCAGCGGCCGAAATTGAGAGCCCCAAGCTCAGGGAAGGCAGGGTTTTTACTACAGAAGAGGGGAGTTTCAGCCTAGCAGAGGAGAGTTTTTGCTCAGCAGTACATTGATTGGTGGACATTGAACAAAGTTATCTTGTCTTAACCCCGTTGATCTATGCATGTAAGATGTGACCTTCACTACCGGCTGCATACCTTAGTACATCTGGTGTTTTCCTGATATGTACTGGTCACTTGCCTCCTTGCTAATTGGCTGTTGCTATGGGCTGAGCAAGATTAAGACATTTACAGTTAAACTTGGCCTTGGAGCCTTGTTGATAACCAAAACTTAGGCCTGGTTGGTTCAGAAGCATTCTGAAGCCTGTCATGGTGTCAGTTTGGTCTTTCACATCAATTCTCGCAGTTGTAAAAATAAAACAAACACACAACAAAAAGATTTTAGACTCTAAAACTGCCTGAAGACAGGAGCCTTGTGAACTTCTCTGTCCCAAAGGTCCAGCCCTGACCGTGCACAGAGCAGTGACTAACTCATTGTTTTAAAGGAGCTGTCAGCTTCCCTTTAACTTTAAAATTCTATGATTCTAAAACAGATAAACAATAAGGCAATTCATTTGGTCAGTCAGTCACAAAATAATAATTATTCCACAAACAAAAGAAATTATAAACCCAAAAAGGTCCCCATTCTAAATTTGACTGGTCTGGGGCAGCTGTGTCTTAGGGACAGGCCCCAGGCTGTGACCTGGAAAGGGAATGAACTGGAAGCACTTAGCATATTGCCTGGCTCTCAGTAAATGCTGACTAAAAGCAAGCTGGATTGAGGAAGCCCTTATTTCTGCAGAAAGCAGCCTAAGTTCTTCCCCAGCACATAGAGGAGTGTGGGATCTGCAGAAATAGGCGTTTTGAAAATGACTATAGAGGAAAATAAACCCTGAGTAACATGTCAAGTTTACCTGGAGCAAATGCTCTTACTATTTTTTTTAAAGCATTCAATGATTCTGTTCAAACATTTACATACATTAGATAGCCACAGAACTTAAATGAGTGGTTCTCAAAATGTGGACCCTACCCCGCTTCAGTTTTGAGTCAGAGGGTGAGTTAGCATTAGTTTGGGAGCTTTAGGAATAGTGCACACAGGAACTTTGGGAGAATTGAAAGAGACTTTCAGAGATAAGGGCAACAAACTCCAAGGAAGGTTAATCAAATGCTCCAAAATCAGAGACAGAGGATGTTCCTGGAGAAGGGCGGGGTTCTTTGACTTAGATCTCTGTGGGAGTCTTTGATAAGAGCTGTGATGCAGGAAGACTCTAAACACAGTAGCAGATTAAATAAGACCACTGAGAATTAACCAATCACAGAGAAGCTGATAGAAATTTAAAATAATTAGGGAAAGTATATATTCCTGAAGCATCACTCCATAATGAGAATGGTGGAAATACTGCACTTAAAGTGATCTTCCCTGGTGATGCCAGGGGTTAGTTAAGGCAAGGAACTGTGGAGCTATCTGGAGCCACCCCAGCGTGAGTTCGATCCCCAGCCAGGGAGCTGACCCACAAGGGCAGCAGACCTCTCCTGTCTCACCCACCTGCTGCTCCCCTCAGCAGTGTACTTTGATTAATTTGTCTGTTCTGTCCCCCACTCTGTCTCTGGGGAATCCTCTCACCATCACACCCTGCATCTCTGGGTTGTACCCCAGTTCTTGTGTGCATAAATAAATATTTTTTTTTTAAAAAAATTTATTGCATTTCAAGATATGGGTTGAATATTGTGTAGGAGGTGGATAACAGCCTTAACTGATTTTTCCTTATAATTGTCGATTTTTGAGCATAACAGTCAACTTTTCCAGAATCATCTAAATTTTCCCCTTAGAAAACATTTCTGAAATACTGATCCTGAAAGTTAAAAAAAAGTAAACCATAGGGTTTTGGGGTATGCTAGCCCTAACTTCTCCATTTTTCATGTAAAATAAACATTTTGATAGACTACTTTAACAAATTTTAATATTATTAAAACAATAAAAAAGAATGTTGTGGACATACAGTACAAAGTCACAACATTTCCCTCTTGCCAAAAACCCTCAACGACAATTCTGACTTAGAACGAGCAATGTGTAAAAATTGATGGGAACTACAAAATAAAATTTTGCTTCTGTGTCTATGTAAGAAAAAAATGACAGAATACTGAACATCTTAAAACTGCATTTTTTTTCAGGAAAAGCAGAGAAGAAAAGGAATTTTCATTTGAGGACTTTGTGGAGATGGGGGTGCTGGTGAGAGACCCACTCATGGTGACATTCTGTGGTGGTAAGAGAGGGTGGAGGGATGTCAGCATTTCTCCAGATGGTTCCACAAATTCCGAGAACACGAGTCTTGAGGATGTTTATCCAGCACTTCCCCCAATACGGAGAATTCACTGAGAGAAAGGGTTGACTTAAGTGTCAAGAAGAGCAAACAGATCTGTCCATATGGGCAGCCCCTAGTCAGGAACGCTGAACGGCAGCGCGCTGATGACCTCTCCAGATTCCGTGACGATGGCGTCATACACCCAGCGTCGGTTGCAGCGGCATTCCGGCCCACACTTGTTGGAGTTGCATTTGGGGCAGGGGTAAAAGCAACCCAGGCAGTTTTTCTCCAGGCAGTCACACAGGTCGGCGTCGTTACAGAGGAGACGGCCGCTCTTGTCATACTTCCTCATCACTCTGCCAAGACAAGAATGGCGCTACCATGGTGGGCAACATCCCTCAGCAGGGAGCGAATGTGGCCCTGTAGCCACATTCGTCCTCAGCTCTGAGGAAACATTACCCGGCAGCACTTCAGAACAGTACATGGTGGTGACATCCCCAGAAATTGGGTCAACCCAGCACGGACTTGCATTTCCCAGCCTACTAGGAATCTTATATTGCACCTAAACAAATTATGAGGGCTGGCTGATTCAAGTTTCTGCCTACAAATGTCTCCTGTGTCCTTCTAAATGACCACCCTTGATGGAATTTTCCCCTGTAAAGTATACTCTTTGTAATGCTTAAGAACATGCGATATGGCAAATGCAATTACATTTTGGAATGACCCGAGATAAACATCAGAAAGGTCAGCTAGGACACCACCCTCATTTAAAAACAACACTCCTTGGCTCAGTCCCCAGGGCCATTGCTCTGCTCCCTTTCTGATTCTGATTTTTACCCAGTGGTCTGGAGAAAGTAGGTGAAGAAGAGGGTAGAATCCATCCCAAGTTGAGGGAAGGCATGCGATTCTGTCCCAGCAAAGCTTCCAAACCTCACACACGTTCTCTGTCAGCCTTGACAACATGTGCAGGAGACAAAGGCTATCACAAGAATTTCACCTTCCTCTCCAAACCAAGCATTTTGAAATAATCACCGGCTGCCTAAAGCCTCGGAGAGACAATGGTCCCTCTCTGCAGCTTGCTCTCAGAACAGTAAGACCAGTTGAATTTTTTTAAAGGCTGCCCCTAAACTACTGTGGTGAAATTAGGGGCTGTGGAACCTATTTCGAGTCAGATTCCTTCTTGTCTCTAACTGTCATAAAGAGGTTTCTAGATAAAAGACTCAACTCCCTATCAGCAACCATAAGAGATTGTGCACTCGTGATTTCTCTGTATTGAGGTTAAACTGATGTGGGTAGAACATCAAGGCCCTGTTCTCTCTTTATCAGTGGCTAGGGGAAAAAAAAAAAAAAAAAAACAACAACAACAGGAAGGCCAGCGCCACTGTCATTGTTCCAAAGACTCTACACTGCACTTCTCTGCCTGAAGACTCCTTTCACCAGCCCAGAATGTCCAACAATCTTAGACTTAGAACTTAGACCAGTCCCCTGGACTCCTGACCCCCTGAACCTTGACTCGGGTGGACCACAGCTTGGAAGAGCCCTATACTCAAACCAATGCCTTCTTCTTTGAAAAAAATACAGATTTATTTATTTATGCATACAAGAACTGAGGAGCAGAACAGGCAGATGTACTGAAATCCACTGCTGAGGGGAGCAGCAGGTGACACAGGAGAGGTCTGCTGCGCCACGTGGGTCAGCTCCCTGCCCAGGGATTGAACTTGTGCTACAGTGGCAGCTAGAAGCTTCGTAGTGCTGAGACTCAAGCCCTTGTACCTGCAGAGAGCCCCTCAAATGCCTTCTTGATTACACTATAGCCTGCTTATTTCTCAGTGGGCACAGCCATCCACTGCCTATTTTAGCTAAATACTCTTCCTCTTCAGGTAAGTACTCTAGCTCCAGCCCCTTCCTTTTGCTACCAAAGCAGGAAGAAGGTTGGGGATCATTACATGTACTCATTATGGTTCCTTATCACACTTTGGAGGAATGACTCCCGATGACAATCTACACTGGAAGTATTTCATCTGTGGAATGAAAGCCCCACTCCACCAAGGCTGCCACATGGCTAGGTCACTCCAGGCGTGTTGCTGTTCCTTTTCTGCAATTTCTTTTTTCTATTCTGTCAATACACCACAGCCTGAGATTCATCCTTCACAGTAATGTAGCTGTAACCACTCATTTTCCCTTCTCTCTATATATCCCATGTAAGAATATGTGTTACTTATCTTTTTTATTACAGGTGGACATTGGAAGATTACTACTTTACTTACTTTGCCATTAAGTTATAAAACTTCTGGGGCCCTCCCTCATGGCCCAAGGGGTTAAAGTGCAGCACTGTGAAGCCACAGCTGCCTGAGTTCGATCCCCGGCCAGGGAGCTGACCCACACGGTACAGCAGACCTCTCCTGTCTCACCCGCTGCTCCCCTCAGCAGTGTTTCTCAGTAGATCTACCTGTTCTGCTCCCCACTCTGTCTCTGGTGAACCCTCTCATTCCCCCCCCCACCTCTGGCCTACACCCTAGTTCTTATATGCATAAATAAATAAATATTTAAAAATAAAACAAAAAAGAAAGAATTTTTTAAAAAGTTATGAAACTTCTGGAATACATATTCTGTTGCACATGCCCAAGTTTTCCTGGGGTATCATGCAGGAGGGAAGATGTTAGCCTACAATGAATGTAAGTAACAGCAAGCTAAATAGGGGTGGTGCCATTTTGCACCCACGCACAATGACACTGTCTGACTAACCTCTTTGCCTTTTTGAGGCGTGAATCGCTTTTTCACCTTACACTAACGAGGCTCAGTATCCTGGGTGTTATTACTCTTCTCTTCTGTGAAATGTCTGTTGGTTGTCTGGCTTATTTTTCTCTTAGGATATGAACTTTGCCATACTGATTTGTAGGATTCTGTCTATATTCTGATCTGATCTTTGAAATCTTAAATACCTTCTCCTACTTTGTGATTGTCTCCCACGCATGGGGGGCAGGTATTATAACACAGTGGTCCCCAGAGAAAGAGGAGGTTCCAGGTTCCTGGCCTCACCCAAGGAAGGGTGAAGCTGCCTTGGGACAATGTCTTTTAACAAACAAATTCTTCATTTTAATGTCACTAAATGGATCAACTTTTTCCTGGTGTTTTGCTTAGTTTCTACTTCTGCTGTGCTAACAACCCTTATATTTCATGATTGTTCTGTGCCTATTTGAGAACTGAATCCATTCCCAATATTCTATTATTTCTCTTTCAAGTGATGCCTCTTCTTACTGTTAATCACCTTACTAAGACATTAATTTCATCTCAGGGCTTCTGAATTCTTTTAAAAAACTGATTCCATTTTGAGGTTATAGTCTAGGTCCAATGTCACATGGGTGACATTGTATTATAGAAAATACTGCTAACCCATAAAAAAAAAGGCCACCTTTAATGACTCTGTCAAGGAGAATTCACACATATTATAAACTCACAGATCAAACAGAGCAAATCATGCCTTACTTGTGTTTTGCACAAAAGTACTCATTCATCTTTGACATCCGGGCTTTCTTTTTCTGCTGCCTTGTTTCAGGATTAAAGTCTGCTACCTGTGGTCCAGGGTTTTGAAATGCCAAACATTTTAACTGCCTCTCGATCTGTTGCTATGAAACAAATAAAAGATCAAGTCTAAGAACTGCATCTTTTTACTGGTTTGACATATCAAAAAGAATTCCCCATAAGTCTGAATTTGTGACATGAAAGTCTAAATGTTTTCATCTAGAGAAGTAAAACTTTATCAGATGAAGTTTCCAAAACGATGTAAATTTTGTCAAAGTAGGTTATTTTTTTTCTGAATAAAGAAATGTATGGTATAAAACTCACAAAAGTGTAAAAACCAGTCAGGTGAGATACAGGATGCACACCTGAATATACCTGTAAAAGGCCATGGACACCTCCCACAGGTTTTAGCTAGAGAAGCCAGCAAGTTGTGCTTTGGTCCTGAAACCATGGGGAGACTCCACACAGTTCTCCCCTCCAGGGTTAAGGGACCCCCACCCCAAACCCCACACTCAGAGTCACTCCATGAGGGTGCCTCTGTCAAACACAGCTTTAAGAATCCACTGTCAAGACCAAATTTGAAGAAACCGTGCTACCTGACTTTCTAGAATATTCTCAGAAATCTCATTGGGAGGATATTTATAATTTGAAATTAAATGGAGAACAGAACCAACAAAGATCCTTCAATGACCCTGATAACATCTTTAAACGTGCACCATACCACACATGTCATGAGGGTAGGATATACTCTTAAATTGACTTTTTGAAGAAAATAATAAAAACAGCCCCCGCCCCCAATTTGTGTGCTGACATCTGCACAAAATTCTATACCTGGAAACAAGGCAAAGGGAATTTTTTTTTTTTAATTTGGTATATTTTTTTTAGCAGGGGGAAGAAATAGTGAGGTTTGCCAGACATAAAGAAAAATATGGAAAGTTTTGACCAGGACTAAATGAGGTCTTTACTTGGGTCAGATGAGGGGCAGATGTTCAATGCATGAATGCCAAAACAATAAACAATTTCTGGCTTTTCTGCAGTTCACTTAGTTTATTTAGTTAACTGCACCCGTCAGCCTGGGAGCGCTCACCCCATGAGCTGAGATCTTGCCTGACATGACTTAGTCCATCCACCCAAACAAGTCAGAGTACCCCAAAGATTCAAGAGCTGGGAACTCCCCAAATACCACAGAACCAGAATATCCATATACCTTACCAGCTGCTTCTGCCCAATTGGACAGCTTTTCTCAGGAGAACTTTGACCTGGGTGTTCCTCTTGCGTGGAATTGTTTTTTTCTGATGGTTCAGTCATTTCTGATCACTAAAAGAAGCAATTGAAAAACATTAAAACACATTAGTATAATACCTCCTCAGTAATTTAATCCTGAGATTTTTTTTTTTTAAGATTTATTTACTTATGCTTACAGAACTGGGGTACAGGCCAGAGGTGTGGTGGGTAAGAGGATTCACCAGAGAAAGTGGGGAGCAGAACAAGCAGATGGACAAAGTACTCTGCTGAGGGGAGCAGTGGGCAGGACAGGAGAGGTCTGCTGTGCCATGTGGGTCAGCTCCCTGGCCGGGATTGAACTCTTGCTGCAGTGGCTTCGGAGAGCTTCTTACTGTGGTGCTTTAAGCTGTTGTGCCACCAGGGAGAGGCCTAATCCTGAGATTATTCTGCTCTCTTCCTGCATCTTATTTCCCTCAGAGCAAGATTTCCTTAGGAAAGTCATCTGCAGGGCCTCCCTAGAGGCACAGGAGTTAAAAACAGCCACTATCAACTATCCAGCCACCAGGGAGCTGACCTGCCCGCTGCTCCCCTCAGCAGTGTATCTCAGTAGATCTGCCTGTTCTGCTCTCCACGCCGTCTCTGGCGACTCCTCTCACCACTCCCACACCCCCCATCACCTCTGGCCTGCTACCCCTGTTCTTGTATGCATAAGTAAGTAAACCTTATAAAGAAAAAAGCCATCTGTACTCCTGGCATCGTTTTTTTAGGCTCACACTTGTCTTTGACTCCCCCATACCTCTTTCCTACCCTGCCTGGCGTTCCATGGGCAAAGCTTTTACAGTTCCTAGCATCATCGCCTGATCTCAAGCTAACAACTATGAGAGCAGCAGCCCTTCTTAGACTTCCACTCTTCACCCTCTACGCTCACTCCCTTGGAAGCAAGTGAGACACAGGAATGTCATTTACCACCACCACTTCAGCTGTCACCTCCTCAGGGCTCGCTCCCCCAAGCTGCCTCACAAAACCCTGGCCTCCTCACTCAACTTCTCTGAAAAATTTCTCATATAACTGGTACTAAAAGGAAGAAGACCCGGTGTGTGGCTGGGGTAACTCTCACACAGAAGCCAGATGCAGAGACCGGCAGTTCACGATGCTCCTCGGGGGGGGCCGCTGCCTGTCCCTCCCGTCAGTCCAGCAGGGAACCAGTTTGCTGGCTCTCGCCAAGGAACAACGGCATCCCAATTTACTGAGTCAGTTGGCATCAGAACTTGACCTGCCAACTGGAAATTCCGCCTGCCTCCACATATTGTGATTCTCCCCACCAAGTCTCTGGACACTCCTGAAGTCAGTGCCTCCGTTCTCAACATCAGGTAAGGGAAGGAAGTTGATTTTGCTTTCTTGATAGCCCTAATGTAACAAATACAGGTCTGAAGGACTCCACCCCCACTCCAGATACTGGAACTACAAATCCCTTCAATACCAAGGAGAAGCACGCGGGGACGTGAGGGAGGAGCTGAGCAGCCAGGTTAGGGTAAAACCGGACATGTGGGCTCTGGGGGGCTCTTGGCCTGGTGGTTCGTGGCTGGTCACTTGGCTCTCGATTGGTCTTCAGTGTGCTGGTGGAGTCCAAGTCAGCAGAACTGGTAGGAAATTCTAGTTAACTCGTATTTCTCTCTCTTTTTCCCTGGGTTATTCCTTTACATTTCTCCTTGTAAATAAACCCATTATCACACTTTTTTGTGTGTGTCCACAGTACAATTGAATCTTAAGCGCGCGGGTGAGGACCCACAGACAGGCAACCCAGTTCACATTGGGGGGCCCTGTAATACTAAGGTGGATTCTTTCCATGCACTATCAGGTAGACCCCACAGTAAAGATGGTAAGGAGTGTGCCCTCCCTGGTGGTGCAGCGGGTTAAAGCACAGCACTAAGAAGCTAAAGCCACTTCCGCATGAGTTCGATCCCTGTCTGGAGGTGATCCATAGGGCGGCAGACCTCTCCTGACCTGCCCGCTGCTCCCCTCAGCAGTGTACTTTGTCCATCTGCCTGTTTTGCTCCCCACTCTGTCTCTAGTGAATCCTCTCATCGCCCCAGCACTTCTGGCCTGTACCCCAGGTCTGTAGGCAGAAATAAATAAATCTTTAAAAAAAAATAGATGGTAAGGATTGCTACTGATGAAGGGCAACAGAGAAACTGAAAGGAGGCACCCCAAGACCAGAAACCTGGCCCACATAGTGTCAAGAGCTGGAGATGGGAGCAGCAGGGATTAACACAGCTATTAACCCAGCTATAGGAGCTAAGCTACTCAAGTGCCAACACCTAGATGTTGGGCACAAGACTCAAGCAGGTATCAGACAGCTACTGGGAGCTTCAGGAGCTCAGACCTGAGGTGAAGATATGGAACAAAGAACAAACCGCCCACCTACTGAGAGAAGATGATAAAACCTAACCTCCCCCACAAAGGCGCAACAGTCTTTCTACCCACCTGCGACTATGCAGGTGCTTCTTTCCACCCATTCTCTTCCTCCTGCCTGCCCGTAACTTACACCTGCCCGGGCTTCTCTGTACTGACTTCCCCAGCGGAGGCCGCTCCCCTAAGGCCGCCTGCCTGCGACCATGCAGGTCTCTCCCAGCAAACCTGTCCCTCTCAGGGCAGCTCTTCCTGCCTGCTGTGTCTATGTGAGTGTCCTGTACCTTGCTGTCCTTTTCCCTAACAAGCCTGCTCTTTTAAAATATAACCAACGTCTACATATATACAATGGAATATTACTTAGCAACCAAAAAAGAGAAACACATGTCTTTTGCAGCAACTTGGATGGAGCTGGAAAAGATCATGCTTAGTGAGATAAGCCAGAAAGAGAAAGAAAAATACTGGATGGTTTCACTCATAGCAGGAGTATAATGGACCAGGCAAGAAAATAACAAGAATAATGAACAGAGACATTTTGTGGGGGTGGAGTGGGGAATGGGATCAAAAACGGGGTGGGAGGAGGGAAATGCACGGGATTATGGTGATGGCAAATGGTTGACTTGGTGATGGGAAACCCGTGGGGATTACAATTGAGATGGAAAAAAAATGTACAAAATGATGTAAAAATAAACTTTTGTAATAATAAAAAATATATATATATATGTATGTATATATATCCAACGTCTCTGTCTCATGGAGAAACCCGTCAGGACAATTCACCACCTGCCATGAAGGAGAGCTCTGGTGAAACATGTCCCAGAGTGAACCCCAAGACTCCACTCTCCAAACCCACTGATTCTACAAACGATCTCACTAGCACCACCGGCAGCAGTAGTAATGTAAGAGGGTCACCTCCAGGGAAAGAGGAGTGTCCACCCTAAGGAACGGTGGAACTGGGCAGGGAGGTGAGTTTAGAAAAGACTGGAAAGAGCAAGAAGGGAGGAAGGGGCAGGAGAGAGGAAGACCGGCGGGGAGGAGGCACAGTTTGCAGAGGGACATGTGAGGATCTGCTCTTTCCTGTGGGTCCCCACCACAAGGGGCCTTACACTGTGTCAAGCTTTTTGGGCCTCTGTGGCCCCGCTTTGGGCTGACCCTGTTTGGCTGGGCATTTACTCAGAAGGGGATGGGTGACTTTGGGTGCTTGATTTGGAAATGATCTTCTTTCTCTTCTCTCTGTCACCTACTACTTGCATCGATGTTCTTTTCCATTGAAGTTTTTACACACGAAGAGTATGTTTCGCCATTTACTGCAGAGAACTTGACGATGTCAAGGCCTCCTCTTTGTCATTGACATGGAAATCACCTCCCTGCTTCTTGACAGTCTCACCACCCAGGGTGGCTTTCTCCAGGGTTCAGTAACCATCCCCCCAACAGGTAATCAGCAGGGAAGGGAGGGCCCCTGCCTGCCAGTCTCTGTGGGAGGACAGAAGCCTAACTGGGATTCAGTGAGTGCCAATTAGCAAACACAGGTGGCCTCATCACAGAGAAAAACGTTTGCAAATTGGGGACCAACTCAGTGTTCTCACCACAGTCCACAGACCCACTCCCCCCACAGCCCCCCACTGCCCTGTGGTATATTCCTCCTGCCTTTTGCCCCAGGGGTGTTGAGCTCAGGTGGAGTTCTGGTCTTTAATATACAAAGCCTTAAATAACATCTCCTTTGCCCATTTCATTTTATCCAATGCAAATTGGGCTTTGATATCTTAACAGGCAATTTCCTTCAGCCAAATATTCCTGTGTGGTTTCCAACTGTCTGAAGAGAAGAACACATAAAACTGTTGTAAAAATGGTGAATTCCCTTTGAACCCCAGTTCTACTGGAGTTACAAAAGTGGTAGAGAACCTTGGTGATCTATTGATCTATAGAGGCAGCAAGGTCTCCAGGTGTGTAACGGTCTCCCAGCCAGTCTTGCTATGGGATCGTGAAGTTATTGTCCCTGTTTTCTGCCCAACCCCTATGCACCAAGACATCGTTTGTAGTTCCATGTCAGAAATATCTTCATCTCATCCTATTAAGAGACGTGCGTGACTTCCCCTGTCAGTGATATCAGCGTCCCTGGCCTATGGGTGCGGGTCCATCATTCCAGGATCACCCCGCCCTGTCCTCACTCAGGCCAGAGCTCCCTCCCTCGCTGCTTCCATGCACACATGCCCCTTCGGCCTTCCCTTTTCAACTCTGGTCCCTCTCTGCTCTAGAAAGCCTTACCTATCATTCTACCACCCCATACAAAATTCCTTTGGGAACTTCCTCAAAAAAGTCCTATCAGGCCCTCGCTGGTGGTGCAGCGGGTTAAAGCACTAAGAAGCTAAAGCCACTTCCGCATGAGTTTGATTCCCACCTGCCCCGGAGGAGATCCACATGGCGCGGCAGACCTCTCCTGACCCGCCCTCTGCTCCCCTCAACAGTGTACTTCGTTGGTCTGCCTGTTCTGCCCCCCACTCTGTCTCTGGTGAATCCTCTCACCCTCTGCATCTCTGACCTGTACCCCAGTTCTATATGAATAAATAAATAAATCTTTTAAAAAAAAAGTCCTATCAAAAGGGTTCCTTAACCTGCCCTCGCTGGTGGCACAACACAGCACTATGAAGCTATCTGCAGCCACTGCAGCATGAGTT